TAACCTTGTTTGCCTCAGTTTCCTCCACTGTAAAAGGAGTTGGAGAAGGAAACGGCACACCACTCCAGTATCTTTGCCAAGAAAACCTCAAATGGGGTCAAGACTGAAAAAAGACTCAACAACAAAAAAATTAAGTGACTCCTCAAGGGTCACACAACCAGTATGTGTTACAGACAGGACTTAATTTAGGTCTTCCCAGTTCCGAGTCTGATTATCTGCTACACCACTGCATCTCTGAATTTTTCTTAGTGGCCTCACATTCTGTTATGATTTCATCAGTGTAAAGAAACCCCCTCCCCATAATGTCAACAACTTGTATTTTACTTATGGTCCATAAAATAAACAATAAAGTCACTTGCCCAGGGATCATAAGACCACAGATTTAAGAGCTGGAAGAGACCTTAGAAACCATCTTTCCCTTCATTTTACAAACAAGGAAACTGAGACCCAAAGATATGACAAGCTCTATTCGGGGTCACACAGCCAGTATGTGTCAGAGTCAACACTTGAACTCAGCCCTCCCTGACTGGAAGGCTGCCTACGAAATATTCCCTATCAAAAACTCTTTGCTATCTCTAAAATAATCTCCAAATGGCATTGTGTTTGAAGACAGCAAATTAGTTTAATACACACAGAACACATGCTTTAAAAAATCCTTAGGTTCTTAATGCTTCATATGTTCACTTTATAACCTAATGAGAGGCTCTTAACCTGGGGCCCATTATACTTTTTTAATATTTTGATAACATATTTCTATATAACTTGTTTTCTTTGAAATTCTAGGTATTTTATTTTATGTCTTTAAAAATACTCCAGACCCTGGGCAAGTCACTTAACCCCAACTGCCTAAAAAAAAAAAAATGTTCCTTAGAAGGGACCCATAGGATTCACTAGACTGCCAAAGGACAGTCCATAGTACATAAAAAATTAAAAACCTCTTGACAATCCATAGTACATAAAAAAATTAAAAACCTCTTGGCCTAACAGAACGTTAGCTTAATTGATTTGTTTGGCCAAAGAACATGGAGGATCATAGTTTTTTAGGTGAAAGGGTTAGAGTCAGAAGGGACACCGGGGTCATCTAGTTCAACTCCCTCATTTTACAGATGGGCAAACTGAGGCACAACAAGCTAAGTGACTTGTCCAGGGTCACAGCTGGGATTTGAAATCACAGCATAAGTGACAGGCCTTGAGTCCCCATTTAGTCCTTTTTTTTCTTAACTCCAAGTCTAGTGGCTTGTCCACTAAACCATGATTAGTGTGTATTTGATGGAACTCATAAATGTTGGTTTGAGAACACACTGTCCTTGTCAGGAAGGCTCATTCATGTTCACAGACTCTTGATTAGGTTAGCCTGTAACTACTCAGAAAGCAGAGGAGCTTTCTGGCAAGCAGCTGGAGGGCCAGCCCGTGCTCTGGACTGAGGATTGCCCCTGATAGTATGTTCTGTGTCCTTGGGAGGAAGGGGACTCCCTCTTCACTAAACTTGGGAGTGTGGGTGAGGGGGGTGGGTGAGGAGGCAGCTATTGGGCCTCTCAGAAGCTGAGAATATCATCCACTTGCCAGGCACGTCACTAGACCTGAGATTTCGGTAGTACAGGGTGAAGAAAATCTAATGCAAGTAAACACTTACTCTGCAATTTAATAGTCAGAGAGCTGCCAAGAACCCTGGGAGGTTAGCACCTAATCAAGGTGGTTACAAACGGACAGTAGAAAGGTAGGAATTGGGGGAGAAGAGGGAGGAGGAAGCAAACTGGGATAGGGAAATAGGAAGATCCTGAAACTAGGACCAGGGGATCACCTTCCCTTTCGATGCAAACTCAAAAAGATGGCATTTGGGAAGGATGCTGTTGAGTGTATTCTATGGAATTTCCCCTTCTTTCCCAAGCTCCTCCCTTCTACCAATGCCATCCAAGGTGCAAATAATGTAGTGAATAATTTATACTCTAACATCAATATTAGAAAAATAAACAGCTTTGAAGATTTTCAAAAATTGATGATGAAATAAGCAGACACAGGAGAACAATTTTATATGACAACAACACTTTTAAAACAAACAACTTTAAAAGCTAGGCGGTGCCTGTGGAAAGCATGCCCAGCCTGGGGTCAAGAAGATCCGAGTTCAAATTCTGCCTCAGATACTTACTAGCTGTCAGGTCACTTAACTTCTGTCTGCCTCAGTTTCCTCAATTGTAAAATAAGAATAATAACAGCATCTATCTGAAGTGATTTGCCCAAGGTCACAGAGCTAGTAAGTATGAGCTGGTTTCCAGCTAAAGTCTTTCTGACTCCAGGTTCATCTTTCTACCCACAGGACCACCTACGTGCCCATCAAGCTCATGGTCTCCCATGGAAATAGGGTCAACTTGACTTCAGTTTCTTTCTGCCCAGCCACCAGTAAATACTTCCTTGATAAAGGGTTCTTTCTGCCATGCCCTCTCTCTTTTCCCATCTAGCAGGACCAGGGAGGATTCACACCTTTATATCAGGGGGCAAGGACCTAGAGTCTTCTGAGCTTCTGATTTTTGTTTCCTGTCATTATTTTCTATGTAGCAATAAGCATAAACTCCTTGCAAATGAACAGCCCCAACTCTGATGGTCTGGAACAGAGGTGTCCAACATGGGGCCCCAGAGTGCTTGCATCTCATGACACTCTCGAATGTGGTG